GCTCTGGAGGAAGGGCCTCGCGGAGGTGCGTGGGGATGTCCTTGGTCGGAAACTGGAACATATACATTACCAGTGGCGGGCTGCTTTTCAGTCCAGAACTTGTTGAGGGTAGGGGACGACGTCGGAGCGGTGTGGTGTATACTATTTCCCCTGCTTTCCCGTGGAAACAACGAAAAAGGAATACACCAGGATCCCGTATACACCAGGATCCGCTTTCTTGTGCGAGTTTCAGTGCGGGGCCGTAGAAAACGTCGGTGTATAGAGTCCGGTTCCATATTTGGAGGCCGCTCGGGGGCTTCCTGGAGGCAGTTGTGAAGCCTCTTGGGGAACCTGGGACGCCTCCTGGATGGGCACTTGGGCCTCTGGAGGGCTTCCGCGGGCCTCTTCAGAGCACCTTGGGGCGACCGGGCGTCTTGGGCCGGTCCGGAGCGCCTTGGGGCGTCTCGGGACCGTTCGGGGTATCATTTCGACAGTCTGTTTGGAAGCTGTCTTGGGGGCTCTTGGGCCGTCTTCAGGCGGTGTTGGGGACCTAGTGGAGCTCTTTTGTGGGATTTGGACGAGCTTGCTGAAATCAGAGGTTGCTCATGTGATTTCAGCATTTGCGCGCGGGCAGAGAATCTGCAAGACTTGCGATGGGACACATATTTGCTCATGTTGGCATGTTGAAACACTTGCAAAAACCATGCGTCTGGTATGAGTTTGACATGTGCCCGGGCGTATGGGATTTGTGAAATGTGTTGTAAAGAGACCCTTGCACATTGTTGTTTGAAGTCAACGAGTACTCGCGCATAGCATCAGATGAGAAGGATGAGAGGGGGGGCGATAAACGGTCGGTTGAAACGGATGTGAACTCATAAGGTACATGAACGATGAGGCAAAGGCATGTGCATTTGCCGTGTCACAGGGCGACCTTTTAAAGTCCGGGTCCGGGAGGCGGGGGGGATCTATTGTGTTTCTTGAAATGAGAACCGAATTACGTGGTGCAATCGATGTAGTGTTATCTTTGTGGTGCATTCGATGTAGCCCAGTTAATGTCGGACGTTATCCAGGGTGCAATCCATGTGGTACAGGTACAAGCTATGTGGTGCAGGCTACGTGTGCACCCTGAATCGCGAGCCAGCGCACGAGGCGGCCAAGAGGCGGAAAGTCCAGAAACGCGAGCCAGCACGCGGGCGACCGCGAGGCGGCCACGGGCAGACATGGGACGACAACTCGACAACGCAAGCTACCGACCTTCAACCGAAGTAAGAATCCCAAGCGCCAGTGCTGCTTGGGAAGAAGGTCTGAACACCTAGCGCAAGCACTGGTTGAGGGAATTTCTCCTGGCACAAAGCCCTGGTCCCTGCGCACACGCGAACACAAGCTCTCTAACCCAACAAACGTATGTTTGTATACATGTATGTTAGCCAGCGTGGGTCCCAACCAGTGGGTTATTGCACTGGAGGTGGAAGCTGTGCGGTGTAAGCTATGTCTACCCTGTGTGGTGTGACGTATAAGGGTGGACGCTATGTTGTGTAATGGTTGTGGTGTGAGCGATGTCGTGTAACATGTGTGGTGCGAGCTTGAAGTGAAAGCTATGTGGTGTAATATGTGTAGTGTAGGCGGTGCGGTGCAAGCTACGTGGTGCAAGATATGTCGCGCAAGCCATGGCCTAACAGATATGTGGTGTAAGCTTAGCGCACGTGGTTCCAGCGAGCGCCCACGAGGTGGCACGGGCGGCAGCGTGGCGCAACCTCTGCGAACCCACCCAATGCACGGGGCGCCCACGAGCGCCCACGAGGCAGCACTAGACTGCAACGTGGAAAGTTCTCGGTAGACCCGTCCATTTATTCAAGCAACACAAGGAAGTTCCCCTGAGTGCAAGAACTGATTGTGGAATATATACATAGATATACATCTACAGACATACAGACATACCTACTTACCGACCTATCTACCTACCTACCTATCTTCCTACCTACGTACCTACCTACCGACCTACCTACCTACCTACCGACCTACACATACACACATACACACCAGCGCTGGGTCGGAGCGGAAACCGGGGGGACAGAAGAGGAGTTGGCGGCCTCTCCGTCTCGAGGCGCAGCGCGAGGTGGAGGAGATGGCGGTGGCGCTGGAGGAGAGGGAGGACGAGCTCAATCGGCTCAGGGCCGAGGCCGTGTCCCGCGAGGGTGCCGGGGCCCCCTCGGCGACGCAGGACGCTGGCCAGGAGGCCGCCGAGGAGCGAGCGCGGTTCCTCGAGGACGGCGAGGGCGAGCGCCAGCGCCTCGTCGAGGAGGCCGCGCGCTTGGGCGCCGAGCTGCGGACTGCGCAGGAAGCTAGGAGCGAACAAGTGCACGCGGGTCGAGCGAAGTAAGTATTCTCGGAGATCCAGGTCCCATTCTGCTTCGGGCGCCTTCCTACTGCAGGAGTCGACGTGGTTTTGCTGTGCTGTGCGATTCTCTGGGCGGGCCCGAGCCCCATCTACTTGATCCGCCTTCCTGCTGGATGCTTCTACGTGCTTCTTCCGGTATACGCGTGCATCAAAATTGTCGCGGGCGTCAAGGAAACGCAGCATGCCGCGAGCGGTCGTAACACGAGGCTGGCCTCGCGAACTAGGCGGGGCGTCGTATTCACGTACACTGGAGACCCGTGCCAAGAAACACCCTTCTTGCCTCCAGGGTGCCTTGGGTTTCTTGAGTTTCGATGGCTTTGCTGTGGAAAGCGTGACGTGCCCACACCAAAAATCGATGGACGTCCTGGGGTCCCAGGGCTGGGTTCCTTGTGAAAGGTTTCTTGTGGCCGGGCCCCTACTGTACTCATGTACGTGGCTGCGCGCTTACGTCCTGTCGTGGCCCCCCTAGGAGGAGCAGGAGGCGGCGCGCAGGGAGAGGGCCAGGCTGGAGAGCCAGCTCGTCCGCAGCAAGGTGCGGTGCGCCGAGGCCGAGGAGCGCGCGGAGGCCACCGAGCACCTCTGCGCCTACTACGAGGACCAGGGGCAGCGCTAGCAGGCTCGGGGGCGGGGAGCATCGAGCTGGGGTTGGCAACACGTCGCCGACAGATCGGCGATGTGCCCCCGACAGCGAGTCCGCTCGTTCCTGGGCGGTGTGGGCTATCAAGCCCCCATCGGCGATGCATCGCCGGTTCCAGCTCGGTGTTTCGCAGACCCCCGACGTCGTGATTGTGTCATGACGCGGACCCCCATGTTGCAGAGGTCTGCCTCTGCCCAAGGACCAGCTTTTCATCCTGAGTCGATGTTTGGTATCCCGAGGCCCACAAAGGCCATTGGAGGCTGAAAATAGATAAGGAAACGAAGGACCCAACCAACAGCAGCGTCGAGTATCGCGGGGCCGGTGAGAAGGAGGAGGGGGCGTGGAAAAGGACTGCGGCGCTGACTGGGAGAGAAAAGCCGTCGGGCTCGCGGCGCTGACTGCACTGCTTGGCGCGAGCCCCGTGCGCCACAATTTTTCGCGCCCACTTCCGTCCCAGCCCTTTCGCCCCTCTCCCTGCTTCCAGTGTGCGGCGTCTGCGTTCCTGCCCGCCTGGCCCGCGGTGGGGCCCGAGGCCTGGGCCCCGCCGTTCTGTGTCGACAACCTTCTCTCGTAGCTCTCCCCCCTGCTTGTCCCCTTGCGCCCCGGCAACCGCGGCTCTGGGCACCGCGCACTGCGGCGTCCCCGCGACGCACGCCGGTCGCGCCCCGAAGGAGTCCCCGCGACGCGCGCGGCATGTCCGCGGCACGGAGCAAAGGTCACGGGCAGCTGACAACGGGCATGGCGCTGGGCAGAACGCGCGGGCGTCGGGCAGCTCCTGGAGGCACAGCGCCATGGGGTCCTCGCGAGGCTATAGGGCTACGAAGTGCGTGGAGAGGGTGTGTTTCGATGGAGCTCCTCATGGGGGCACGAAACGTGTGATTGGTGCGCCGAAATTGACATGCGATGGACGGGGAACCGCATGCGAACTTTACCACTGGGGCCTTTTGCGGGGCTCACTATGGGGCAAACCATCACCCGAGGGGCGCGCGAAGTGGACACGCGGTGGGCGGGGGGCCGCATGTGAGTTTTGCCACAGGGGTCTTCGGTGGAGATCCCTACGGGGCCACGAAAAGTGCGAGGGGTGCGCCGACATGGACACGCGGTGGGCGAGGAGCCGCATGCGAACTTTGCCATTGGGGCCCCGGGTGCAGCTCCCTATGGGGAGACGCAGCGTCTGAGGGTTGCGCCGACATGGATATACGGTGGGTGGGGATCCGCATGCGAACTTTGCCACTGGGGCCTTCGGTGGAGCCCTGTATGGGGCCACGAAACGTGTGAGCGGCATGGCGCAATGGACAGGCGGAGGGCAGGAGCATGGATGGGAGGAAGGGAGCAGGAGGAGGGAGAGGAGGAGGAGGAGGAGGAGGAGGAGGAGGAGGACGGAGTGAAACGCGGGGCGCTATGTCTTCAAAACGGGGACCTAGTCCCACAGGACGGTACAGCGAACAGTTCCAGCCATGGTTTTTCACTGCCCGGGGGAATTTGGAAGGTGCTTTTGTATGTATATTCCGGCTGGTCCACTTGCATGGCAATTCCCCCCGCCCCCCCCCCCTTTCCTGCCTTTTTCAAACAGTGCTTGGCCGAAAACGCGTGCGAGTGTGTCCCGGCTTGCGTGACATTCCAGATTTCTCTTGGGGCCTCGCCACGCACCCTCCGCCTCCATGCCAGTAAACTCGTTCGAGTCTAAGGAAAACCTGCTGCCTGGGGAGCTTGTTCCCTCCCTAACGCTACCCTCGGGGGCGGAAAAGAGGGGGGTGATGACTAGGGGGGGGGGATATCATGGCGTGGGCCATGATATTTCCCCAGATTTCATGGCGCCCCTTCTTGTTTCATTACGTCCCTGGCCCCCCCGCTGGGCCGCGCACATGCCGCCGGTCATGATTTGCACCCCCCCTCTTGGACACCCCCCTCTTGGCCGCTCCCGATACCCTTCGTGAGGAGCAGCTGGTGGCCCTCGACCCCCAGTTCCGCACGCTCGCCGCGGTGGCCAGGACGTCGGCCGCCCCCGCAGCGCTGCCGCCGGTGGCGCGGAGGGGCTCGGGGAGCCGGGGCCCCGACGACTCCCCGAAGGTCCTTGGGCTCGGCATCGCTCGGACGTGTGCATTTTTCCGTCGGCGACGGCCATCGAGGAGCATCCTTGATCATCTGGCGAAAAAACCACGCACGAAATCGAAAAATACACGAGGAATGGATGTCCGAGCGATGGCGAGTGGGCGGCTCGAAGAAACGGGTGGGGCGAGGAAGGTTCGGTTTCCAGGCTGCGCACGGACAGCCCACCCCAGGTAGTCCCGAGTGACCTCAGCAACCAGCCCCCCGAGAAGTCTCAGCTGGCCTGATCAGGCCCCCCGAGAAGTCCGCAACGTTTTTTGAGTTCGGGTGGGACTACCGAGGGGGGGGGTCTGTGCCCGACCCGAGGCCGTACCACTGGGGCGGGATGGGGTTCAACCACACGTAAGAGTGACCCTTCGCTGGAGTGACCTTTGGTGCGGGCCCACTGGGGCCCCCCGATCGCCGAAAGCGATGTGATGGCCGCGGCTTGCACGTTCGGGTTTACCCCACGCCCAGCGCGCAATCCGGAAGCCGCGCACAACAGGCAAGTCTTGCCTGGGGCAACTCTTGCGCGTAGCCGAAGGAGCGGGCGGGGCGAGGCCCCGACCTCCGCTCGTCGCGGCAAGAGCACGACGAGCGGAGGCATCGGCAGTTTGCAGCTCCTGCGGGCCCTCACCGCGCCCCTCGGGACGTCAGCAAGCGACTCGGGATGAGAAGCCGGTCCCGGGTAAGAAATGCCCAGCCATTTGGAGCACCGCGCTGCGGAACAAGAGCACGGCGCCGAATGTCCGGGGACCCAGACCCCCGACGTCGTGATTTTTTCACAACGTCGACACCCAGAGGTCTGGACCCCTCCCCCAGGACCGGTTTTTCATCCTGAGTCGTTTCTTGACGGTCCCGAGTCCCGGCGAGGGCTCCCCGAGACCAAAAATAGCGACGAACTTCCCGTCGTGATTTTTCACAACGGGTGCCCTCCAAGAGGGCAGGCGGGGGTGCCCTCAAGGGGGGGCGGGGGGCGCGGGGGCCTCGCAGAGGGCAGGGGCATCTCCCAAGGAGGCTCCCGCCTTCGCTTCGGGCTGGCCGCCCACCTTGTTGCCCTGCCCTCCCTCCTCCTCCTCCTCCTCCTCCTCCTCCTCCTCCTCCTCCTCCTCCTCCTCCTCCTCCTCCTCCTCATCCTCATCCTCATCCTCATCCTCATCCTCATCCTCATCCTCCCCCCCTCTCCGGAGTAACGGAAGGGGTCCCTGATCCAGGGTGCCCCCAGGGTTCCAGGGGAGGCCCAGATATCTAGGCCTCCCAGGTGGGTTCGGAGTAGATGGGGTCGGAGGATGGCGCCGCATCGCCGATGCATCGGCGATGCAGCTCGATGCGGAGCCCGATTTGCTTCACGTCGGCGTCGCCGATGCATCGCCGACGTCGCCGATACATCACCAGTGCATCGCCGATGCATCGCCGATGCATCGGCCCCCATCGAGGAGGCCTCCAGTTACTGGGGAGGCCCAGGTGGCCGCCAGAGCACCCCTCACGAAGCCCAACGGGCCCCAGGGGCCGCGGGGTGGCGCGAAAGGCTGGGGACGCCTTCCCTCAGATCCTGGCGTCGCATTTTTTCAAGGCGCGCGCCTTCGCGAGGTCTCGGGCCCCGAGACCCTCACAGATCGATGCGGCTCGAAAAATGGCGCAAGAAAGTTGGGGCCTGGGGCTCCGGTCCTGATTCGTCGCGATCTTGCAATCTTTTGGCAACGTCGACCCCCGGAGGTCTGGACCCCTCCCCCGGGACCGGTTTGTCGTCCTGAGTCGTTCTCTGAGGGCCCTGGGGCCCAGCAAAAGGGCCCCCGAGGCCGAACCTACGGACAAACCTCCCGCCGTGATTGTTTTTGTCCCACAGCGCGAGGGGGTCTCTGTGCCGGCGCGCCGCCACAGGTCAGCCCCGAGCCGGCGCCCAGGCGCCCCGGCGGGCCGCAGGAGGGCCGGAAGAGGCCCAGCGTCAAGCGGCTCGTGGGCGGCATGTTCCGGCCGCGCGACCGCGGCGCCGCGCGGGGCGACGGGGCCGCGGGCGGCGAGTCGCCCGGGGGCGCCACGCCCGGCGCCGGGGCGGAGGGGAGGCCGCCGCCGCCGCCGCCCAGCGCGGAGGAGGACCCGGGCGGCGAGTGGCGCCTCGTGCTCGTCGTCCTCGTCCTCCTCCTCCTCCTGCCTCCTCCTCCTCCTCCCGTGCCACGCCGATGCTCAGTCTGACAGCTGCGGATTCCATGGGCTCGTCTCGTCTCGTCTCCTCCTCCTCCAGCCCGGTGGTGACCACACCGTGCGGTGAGTCAGTGGAGATTTGGGGTCCCCGCACGGTTTTGGGACTCGGGTCGTTCTCCGAGGGCGTCTCGGGCGATCCAGGGGCCTCCGGGGTCCCAAAAAACCGTGCGGTGACGGACCGTGCGGTGAGGTCTCTCGGGGTTCCGAGGTCACCGCACGGTCTGTCACCGCACCGTTTCGGGACTCCAAAGTCGTGTTTCTGGGGCGCTCCTCGCCCACGGATCTTCGTCTCCATATCTTGAGATGGGGTCTCTGTCATGGCTCGGGCGCCGCCGACGCCCTTCACGTCTTCCTCCTCCCTGCTTCCCTCACACTCCGACCTGCTCATACTGAGGCTGACTCACGCTCAGACTCACCTACACTCCGACTCACTCATTCTCAGACTCACTCACACTCACACACACACACACACACCCTCCGACATACTCATACTCAGGCTCACACTCAAATTCAGTCAGTGTCATCCCCGCTCATACACAGACACTCAGACTCACTCATACTCCAACTCACGCACACTCAGACTCACTCGTTCATACTCAGACTCAGACTCATTCACACTCCTCGGCGAGGCGTCGGCTTCCGCACCCCAACGGGGAGCCGTCAGGAGTGGTTGCACGGCCCTGTTCGCGGCCAGATTGTGGGATGTCTCAAGCGGTTTGCGTGTTTGGTGGCCTGGACTTCGCTGCTTGCACACCACACCGTGAGGATGTCTTCGGCAAGGCGCTGGCTCCCCAGCACCCACGGAGGCGCCGCCAGGGGTGGCTGCACGGCCCCTTGCTCGGCCAGAGTGGGGGGACGTCTCGGGCGGTGTGCTCGCGTGGTGGCCTGGAGCTCGCTGCTTTTCGGAGCAGACGGTGAGGCTGAGTCGGGCGATCTGCTTGTCTGCTGGCCCTGAGCCCCTCTGCCTTATACGGGGCAGGCCGTCGGGATGTCTCCGGTGGCCCTCAGGCCCTCCTGCTGCCCGTCGGAGCAGACGGCGAGGCCGTCTCGGCGGGCGAGGCGCCGCGGGGGGGAGCCCCCCGGGCCCGTTCGCGCTCGGGTGGTGCGCCTGTTGTGCAGGAGGGGAGAAAGCACACAGGCACAATAAATCGTCGATCCCCAGGAAAAGATAGGGAAATAATTATGGGAAGTGGGGGGGGGAGACGAAGACCCAGAAAGTATGTAAAAAGATTGGGGATCCTGTTATTGGTGTCTATTCATTTGTGTGTCCCTGGGCCCCTTCAGTTGTGGCCCGCCCGCTTCTCTGCTCTCAGGGCAGGTTGTGGGGATGTCGTGAGCGAGGCGCTGGCCTCAGCGCCCCCATGGGGGGGAGCCGCCGGGGAACAGCTTGTGGGGGCGTCTCGAGCGGGGCGGCGGCTGCAGCACCCTCAGGAGGAGCCGCCAGGGAACGGAGTTTGAGGAGGGCTCGAGCGAGGCGCTGGCTTCGGCCCCCCAGGGGGGAGCCGCCAAGGGATGGGACTCTCGCGCGTTCGCTGCCAGACTGGGGGGGGCGTCTCAAGCGGTGTGCTTGCGTGGTTGCCCGGGCTCCTCTGCTTCCAGAGCAGACTGCGCGGACGTCTCGAGCGAGGCGCTGGTCCAGGGGGCCCGCGCGTGGCCAGAGCGTGGGATGTCTCGAGCGGTTCGCTCGTTGGGTGGCCCATGTTCCCTACCTAGGCTCTGCCTAGAAGGGTTCTTACTCTCTGGGCTTAAAGGGGCCGGGCAGTGGAAAGCGCCCTGGGCGGTTCCCCCAGTATCCGCCCCGCGGTTCCCCAAGTTGCGTCCCCTAGCGTTAGCTTTAGTTTTAGCTTTAGTTTTAGCTTTAGCTTTAGCTTTAGCTTAGCTTTAGCTTAGCTTTAGCTTAGCTTTACCGTTACTACCAATGCTGCTTTCCTAGGGGCTCCAACTCCTAGGTAGGGTCGCACTGGGATATATTTGTTTGTGGTTTGCTTCCAGGGCGGCTTGTGGGAATGCCTCCAGCGAGGCGATGGCTGCAGCAGCCGAAGGGGGAGCCGCCAGGGGGCAGGGTACCCGCCCAGTCGCGGCCAGTCTCGAGCCAGGCGCTCGTGTTGCACCTCCGCCCCTTGCCCAGACGGAGCCTCACGATCACCTCGACGGAGGGAGAAGGCCGGCCGCGAGGGGGGAGGAGGAGAAGGAGGAGGAGGAGGAGGAGGAGGAGGAGGAGGAGGAGGAGGAGGAGGAGGAGGGGGGGGGAGGCGGGAGGGAGGAGGAGGGAGGATGGAGGAGGCAGGAAGAGAAGGGAGGGGCTACGGCCAGGAGGAAGAGGAAGGACAGGACAGGGGAGGGGGCACTTTTGCCATGGAGGGGGAGGGAGGAAGAACTGAGGAGGAGCGAAGACGAGAGGAAGGAGGAGGGAGAAGGGAGGAGGGAGGAAGAGAAGCCGCCAGGGAACAGATTGTGAGGGCGTCTCGAGCGGGGCGCCGGCTGCAGCACCCCGAGGAGGAGCCGCCAGGGGCCCCTGCACACTTGCCCGCTCATCGCCGACAGGGGTCTGGTAGCCCGCCCCTCCCAGTAGCTTCTGCGGTTTCGCCCTCGAGGGCCCGTCGCCGCTCTGTCGGCAGTGTGTCGCCGACGCCAGGTCGAGGCCTCCCCCTCGGAGCCAGTTCCCCCTGGTTCAGGAGAGAGAAAAGACACACAGACACAATGAATCGTCGATTCCCCGGAAATATGCGAAAATATGGGAAGTGGGGGGGGGAAGACAAAAACCCAGAAAATTCGAAAAATATAGGGATATATGTGTTATTTGTGTGTATTTATGTCTCCTGAGCCAGTTCCCCCTTGTCGCTGCCTCTCCGGCCTGAGAACAGAGGGAGAAAAACGGCATGAGCATAAACTTCCGGCGGTCCGCGCGGATATCTTGGATCCACGTTGGAACCCCTCCCCAGCGCGCGCGGAGCGCGCCAGAGGCGGCGCCGCAGGCGCCGCCAGGGGCTCCCACCGCCGATCCAAGAGATCCGCGCGGACCGTCGGAAGTTTACGTGTATGCCGCTGTTCTGCTTCGGGAGAAGGCGGGCAGGTTTTTCTCAGAAGAGCTGCGCCTCTCCTCGGGAACTCCTGGCGGGTCATTAGGACGTCCCTCTTGCGCGGCCGCCCCCCTCGCGCCCCGCCCCTTCCCCCCCCCCCCCCGCCCGTCCTCCTTCCCTAGAGACGAACTCCTCGGCATCGCTCGGACGTGTGCATTTTTCGGCGAGGACCATCGAGGAGCATCCTTGATCACTTGGCGGAAAAACCACGCACGAAACCGAAAAATGCACAGGGAATGGACGTCCGAGCGATGGCGAGACTCCCGAGCCCCATCTGGACACTGTCCCAGCTGGTTGTCCTGGCAGCGTCCAGGCGTGGCCACGAGGGCCCTCCAAGTGGACCAACATGAGGCGGACGATGTGCCCAGCCCTATGCAGCGGCGTGCAGCGCACGGAGTAGCCTTACGTCGGGCCTGTCGCCCTACAGGGGGATTTTCGACGAAAATTAAAGAATACCCCAAAAACACGCCAAAAAGGTCAAAAAATATTCAACAAATAGTCCCCAGAGTATGTTTGGATTAGTGTTGGATTATTTTGGGGGTATGTTTTAGTTTCCGTCGAAAATCCCCCTGTTGGGGGACACGCCCGACTTAAGAGTAGCCCTCTCTTCATTGCACCACGCGCCGCGGGGCCGTGCCGAGGCGCGATGAACCTTCGATCACTGTCAGGCATGCTCCGCGCGACGGGTATGCCGACACGGGTGGCCCGAATGCGAACCTTCACATTGAGGGCAAGGGTGGAGTTGCTGTGGAGCAGGATCCGCGGATCCGCGAGAGGGGGATGCCGTATTTGGCGGAGGCTCACATGCGAACGCGCCCACTGAGGCCCTAAGTGGACCCCCCCCCCTGTACGACACGATCCGGATGAGTTGTGTGCCGAATTGAGTGTTGGCCCACATGCGAACACCCTCACTGCTGCCGAGCTCCTGGTGGAGCACGATCCGCGTGCGGGAAATGCTGAAATGCGTACGGGGACGCTTTGGGCCGTATGTATTTTCCTCTGTGGGCACTACCCTTTTGATGCCGAAATGAGCGGTGGGACGATGTACGAGACCTGTCTCTGGGGCCTTAGGTGGAGCTCCCTGTGGGACATGGTCTGTGAATGGAGTGTGCCGTAATAAACGGGGGAACGCTATGCGATGTCTCTGGGACCGTGGGTGGAGCCACCTGTGGAGGAAGAAAGAAGAGGAAGAAGAAGAGGAGGAGGACCAGGACGAGGGGGTAGAGGAGGGCAGGAAGAGGAGGAAGAGGAGGAGGAGGTGGAAGAGGAGGAAGAGGAGGAGGAGGAGGAGGACGAGGCGGAGAAGGAGGCGGAAGTGGGGATGATGATGATGATGATGATGATGATGATGATGATGATGATGATGATGATGATGATGATGATGATGAGGATGATGAGGATGATGAGGATGATGAGGATGATGAGGATGATGAGGATGATGAGGATGATTAGGATGATGAGGATGATGAGGATGATGAGGATGATGAGGATGGTGACGATGATGATGATGATGATGATGATGATGATGATGATGATGATGATGATGATGATGATGATGATGATGCTGATGCTGATGTTGATGATGATGGTGATGATGATGATGTTGTTGATGATGAGGATGATGAGGATGATGAGGATGATGAGGATGATGAGGATGATGATGATAATGAGGATGATGAGGAAGGATGATGAGGATGATGAGGATGATGAGGATGAGGAGGAGGAGGAGGAGGAGGAGGAGGAAGAGGAGGAGGAGCAGTAGGAGGAGGAAAAGCACGGCGCTGCGGAGAGAAAGCGAGGACCCAACAGCACAGAACGGCTGGGAAACAAAGATGCAGAAGCCGACGAAGTCCCCAAAAAAGGCTGCTCGTCTCGGGTCGGACGACAGGGGGGGGGGATTGGGAGAGGGGGGATTGCGAAATCTGCTGCAGGCAGCTTCTTTCGGCCCCGTCGGAGGGCACCTTCCTCGATACACTGGCGCCTCCGGCGTCGGGAGGCACCGCAGAAACCAGCTACGGGAGCTGACTCGCCAGCCCCCTGTCTGCCACAGCTCAGACGCTGAAGCAAGAGACGCTCCGGAGTTGGAAGGGGCTTGCTGTTTCTTGGGTCCTTCCACGCTTGTTGTTCTTCCGACGCGCCTCGCGCACCCAGGCGCTGCTGGGGCCAGAAGAGGGCTTCCTTCTTCACGCTGCGTTCCTTCTGGTAGCAGCTTCACTGTATCCCCCCTTTGCGACTGCCAGGGACGCTTGCAGGGAGTGTCGCGCCGCCGGTTCGGCCTCTCGCGCGCGGGGGGGGGGGCCTCTCGCGCGGGCGCCCCAGCGGAGGAGGAGGAGGAGGAGGACGAGGAGGAGGAGCACGGGAGCAGGAGGCGGGAAACGCTCCGCCAACCGCGCCCCACTCCCCGAGCGTCAGCCTTTCCCCCGGCCTCCCGCCCCGCAGAGCGCAGCGCAGCGACGCGCTGCCCGCCCGCAGGGCACGGCGCGTCGCGAGGGCCGCCGCCGCGACGAGCTGAGCTTAAGTCGGGCCTGTCCCCCTACAGGGGGATTTTCGACGAAAAATAAAAGATACCCCCAAACATAATCAAAAAATAGTCCAAAAATAGTCTGGGGACTATGTTTTTAGTACTGTTTGACCTTTTTGGTGCATGTCTGATAGGGGGACACGCCCGACATAAAGCTGAGCAGAAGTTCCCCACGGTCCCCCCCCCGTCCGACCCAGTCTCTGCGCACCGCCAGAGGACGCGCAGAGGCAGAAGCAGGTCATCGCCTGCCTGATGGCCGAGCTCGACAAGGCGAACCACGAGCGGCACGACCTGCAGGCGAAGCTCCTCGCCAGCCGCGGGGGGGCCGCCGCCGGGCCCTCCTGAGGGCTTGGGGCGGAGGAGCTCCCCAAGCTCCGCCCGGCGTTCAGGGGCCACGTCTATGGGGGGGGGGGGGGCGGTCGGGAACGTTGGCTGAACGTGTCGCACCGCCAGTTCTGGCCCACCACGCCTCGACGCGACACGCTGTCCACGTTCCCAGTCCCCGTTCGTCGACGTCCCGAGCTGTTCCTGGACTCCCGCCCCACGGAGCGGAGCGACACGCTGTCCGCTTGCAAGGCATAACGTGTCGCTGGGGCCGCCGCCGCGACACGCCAAGTAAAAGCTCCCGACTGTGCTCAGGGAGGGGGCGCATCGGCCCCCAATCGCTCATTCATCGCCGACGGGGGCTTGGTAGCGTACCCCGCCCATGAGCGTGCAGATCCGCTCTCGCCGACTCCGGTGGTTCGATATTTGCCCGCCTGAGCTGGTCCCCCCCCCATGTCGTCGCCCCTCAGGCGTGGTCCTCGCCGGATGCGCGGCTGACTCTCGTCACAGAAGCCGCGGCGCGGGAAGGGAGGGTCAGGGGCGGCCTAGCCGACCCCTAGCAAACCATCCCCTTCCATGACGTCCCCCTCGCCTCGCCCCAAGACGCGTGTGCGCGGCCGGAGGGGAGCTCGGAAGGCGAGAATAACGCCACGGAAGGGGATGGTCTGCTAGGGTGCTGGGGGTCGGCTCGGCCGCGCCCGAGAGGGGCCTCTTCGGAGGATGGGCAGTCGGGAAGGCGCCGGCCCTCCGTCGGGAAGTGGTCGTCCTTGCGGGGGCCTCCGGGAGGCACCTCGTCGCCACGGTCGGAGAGCCGCCGCGGAAGAGTCGGGCGGCCGGGGGTGGGCCCCGGAAGGGTCCGGGGCCCCGACCTCGAGCGGGCTTGGGCCGGGCGGGCGAGCCGGCGTGGTCTCAGCTGGCCCTCGTCCGCTCCTCACTCCTCCCCTCGATCCCTCCATCCCTCCCCCTCCTCCTCCTCCTCCTCCTCCTCCTCCTCTCCTCTCTCCTCCTCCTCCTCCTCCTCCTCCTCCTCCTCCTCCTCCTCCTCCTCCTCTCCTCCTCCTCCTCCTCCTCCTCCTCCTTCCTCCTCCTCCCTCCTCCTCCTCCTCCTCCTCCTCCTCCACAATTACTCAATATGAAAATACTCTCCCTCTTCCCCTGATGGCGTCCGGGTGATGGCCGCGCACCCTCCGCGTACTGTTTTTTACACACAGGATGCCCGGGAAATCCTGGGAAACGACTCTCGCTGAGGCGCCGGCGTCATTTTTTCCAAAATGCTGCTCTCGTTGAGGCGCCGGCCTCATTTCTGCTCCCGAATCGTTCCGAATCGTGCTCCCGCTGCAGCGTGGGCCTCATTTTCGGATCGGTGTTTGGCCTCCGTCGTTCAGGATGGCGTTCTCGCCCCAGCGCGGGCCTTTTTCTCGCGCGCCCATCCGCCCGCCACCACCGCGCCGCACCGCCACCACCACCACCACCACCACCACCACCACCACCACCACCACCACCAACCACCACCAGCACCAGCACCAGTACCAACCACCACCACCACCACCACCACCACCACCACCAGCACACCACCACCACCACACCACCACCACCACCACCACCACTACCACCACCACGACAACCACGCACACACGCACGCACGCACGCACGTGCACCACCACCCACTACGCACGCGCGCGCGGAGCCACAGGTCCGCTACGACACGCGTCCGCGGATAGAGAAAATCAGCGCCATGGTAAGGGATGGGTGGGAGGGGTAGGACGTCAGATATGACGCGAGCGCACCTAGCTTGTCCTCCTCCTCCCCCTCCTCCTCCTCCCCTCCTCCTCCCCTCCTCCTCCTCCTCCTCCTCCTCGGGTGCCTACGGCGGGGGAAGAAACCGTGCACCCCCCAGGACACATTCCTGGGATCCCCCCCCCCGCGCTCCCCCCCCCGCTTGGAAGGGGATCAAAGGGGGATGGGACTTCCCTCCGATTCAATTGCGACGTTGTTTGGCTTCCGTCTGGCTGGATCGCTTGAGGAGGTATGCCCAGGGAAAGGGGGAAGCGGCGACGGCGACGACACAAACGGAAAAACGTTTCACACACGCCGACAGGGTCGGCGGATTCTTTGCTTGTGAGGATCCCAACTGCTCAGGGCCTCCGATGCATCGGCGATGCGGCTCGATGTGGAGCCCCATTTTCCCCACGCGGGCGTCGCAGATGCATCGCCGACGTCGCCGATGCATCGGCGATGTATCGGCGATGCGACGCGATCCTCCGACCACATCTACGGTAGCGTCGCGTCGTGTCGACCAGCGGGTAGCTTCGCGTCGTGTCGACCAGCGGCGACCCCGCCGCCGGTGTATGTTGAACGCCGCCAGTTATCCAGAATCGGCAATTCTTTGGAACGATCTGACATTTTGGAAACGGCCGATCGTTCCAAGGTTGAACGATCCCCGCGGTGTCAGAAACCAACGCCGAAGTCGGCACGACAAGAACCTGCCCTGCTCGGAACCCATCTGGGAGGCCTATGCTCGAAGGTGGCGCGCTTCGGCCCCCTGGGCGCGTGCTACCCAGGAGCCGTCCCCGGGAACCAGCTGCGGCAGGTGAATTGCTCTTAAATTGTTGAGGAGGAGGAGGAGGAGGAGGAGGAGGAGGAGGAGGAGGAGGAGGAGGAGGAGGAGGAGGAGGCGAGGAGGAGGAGTAGGAGGAGGGAGGAGGAGGGAGGTAGGAGGAGGAGGACGAGGAGGAGGAGGAGGGGGAGGGGGATTCCTCCTACACTCCTTTGACCTCTTCCTTCCTCCACCTCCTCCTACCAGCCGACCACCACCACGGGTCCGAGCCCCAACGTCGGGCCGACCACCAACCGCCTGACGCATCTTGCTGGTTCGGCGCATGGACCCGTTGGGCGAGAGCACCATCGCATCTTCAAGCCAAGCTCCCGCAATGTGTGGGCATCTCCCGCAGCTCAGCAACAACAGCATCTCAACAGCACACATCGTCAGCACGTCGTCAGCGCAGCGACACACCCCGACCTCCCCTCCTCGTGCATTCCGCGGGGTTTGGGTCGTGCCACGGGGGCCGAGAGAACGCACCGTCGAAGAAGGCGGGCAGTACTCGGCGTTAAGAGCTCTGGCGACACGCGAAGGGCGACGTGCGCGATGAGAGCCAGTTTTCAGCGACTCGAGGGAGGAGCCCGTCGTGGCCGTGACTCCGCATTGGGTGCATCGGCGCCGCCCGAGGCTGGCGCAGTAAGCAAGGACGTGGTCCGTACTGCGCGCCGCGCTACGGGGAGGCCTGCTCGCTCCACGTCGCATCCCCATTGTTCGCGAGCCACCGCCTGCAGTGCCGCCCACGAAATTATTTGCATGACCTTGCGGTGCTGTTTCAGCGCAGCTGTTGCCGCCTCAGCTGCCGACCCAGCCAACGCGTGAGAGGCCGCGCCACAGCGCGCGAGGTAGTCTGCCCAGCCGTTGCCTGGCCAATTACGCAGCTCCTGCGGCCCTGTGTCCATGAGCTCATCCAAGGACCTGCGCGCTGGCGTCCATCGAAACTTGCGAGGGCCCCGCAGAGTGCGCCTGCGGCGGGCCACGAAGATGCCCCACCACGCTCGAGCATGCCTGGCACGACCCTGCTCGAGCTCGGGACGCCAGCGCTCTCCTTCCTGGGCGAGCGCCAGCAGGTCAGTGACGAAGCACTGGTGGTCAGGGGAAGCGTCGAGCCCCTCCCTGATCGCGTACCTCTCAGCACGGGCGACAGTCTGCGCCAAGTACGGAAGGGGCCCGGACCGCGCCCTAACTGAGAGCCGAGAGAGAGGAGCAAGCTGCGCAACAGCTTGTCCACATCTCCGCACCTCGGGAACACCTGGGTCGCAACCAGACCCGTCGGTGTAAGAAACGGGGCCCCAAACGACATGGGCGTCGGCCCACGGGCAGACACGATGCCTCCGCGCATCTGCGCGTGGCAGATGGGCGGGAGGCTCGGGCGTGCCAAAAAAGAGATAGGACTGCTCTACTACTACTCCTACTACTACCACTACTACTACTACTATTACTACTACTACTACAGCCAGCACTTGGGGGAGGTGGGACTACTACTACTACTAGCTACTACTACTACGACTACTACTACTATTACTACTACTGCTACTACTAGTACTACTACTACTACTACTACTACTACTACTACTACTACTACTACTACTATTACTACTACTGCTACTACTACTACTGCTACTGCTGCTACTACTACTACTACTACCACTACTACTGCTACTACCACTACTACAACTATCATTACTAGTGTTATTATTACTACTATTACGACTACTACTACTACTACTGCTACTACTACGACTACTACTACTACAACTACTAATACTGCTGCTACTACTACTAGTACTACCATTACGACGACTACTACTTCTACGACTTCTATTGTTACGACTACTACTACTACTAATACTACTACTACTACTACTACTACGACGACGACGACGACGACGGCGACTACTTTTTACTACGACTACGAATACTACAACTACTACTACTACTGCTACTACTACTACTACTGTTACTGCTACTACTACTACTACTACCACTATTACTACTACTACTACTACTACTACTACTACTACTACTACTACTAGTACTACTACTACTACTACTACTACTACTACTACTACTACTACTACTACTACTGTTACGACTACTACTACCACTGCTGTTACTACTACTATCACTAATACTACGACTACTACGACTATTACAACTACTACGACCATTGATACGACTACTACTACTACTACTACTACTACTACTACCGCTGCTACCCCTACGACTACTACTTTTACTACGACTTCGACTACTACTACTACTACTACTACTACTACTACTACTACGACTACTACTACTACTACTACGACTACTACTACTACTACACTACTACTACCTCTACTACTACTACTACGACGACTACATACGATGACTACTACTAACTACGTCATTGCTACGACTACGGTTACTACTACTACACTACCACTACTACTACTACTACTACTACTACTACTATTACTACTACTACTACTACTACTACTACTGCTACTACTACTACTACTACTACCACTACTACTACTACTACTACTACTACTACTACTACTGACCACTACTACGATTACTACACGACTACTACGACTACGACTACTACCACTACTACTACTACTACTACGCTACCATTACGAACACCACGACTACGACTACGTTCACTACTACTACTACTATTACTACTACTACTTTACTACTACTTCTACACTACGACTACTACTACTACTACTACTACTACTACTACTACTACTACTACGGCTACGGCTTCTACGACTATTACTAGATGGACGACTACGGCTACGGCTACGACTACTATTATTACTACTACTACGAGTACACTACTACTACTACTACTACTACTACTACTACTACTACTACTACTACTGCTACGAACTACTACTACTACTACTACTACACTACTACTACTACTACTACTACTACTACTACTACTCTACGACTACTACTACTACTACTACTACTACTACTACTACTACTACTACTAATACTACTAACTACTACTACTACTAACTACTACTACTACTACTACTACTACTACTACTACTACTACTACTGCTACCAGTACTACTACTACTACTACTACTACTACTACTACTATTACTACTACTACTACTATTACTACTACTACGACTACTACTACTATTACTACTACGACTACTACTACGAATATTTCTTCTACCACCATTATGGTTACTACTGCCACTCCGGCTGCCATTATTATTATTACCACTACTACTACTACTACTACTACTACTACTACTACTTCTTCTACTACTTCTACTACTACTACTACTACTACTACTACTACTACTACTACTACTACTACTACGACTACGAGTATTATTTCTACTACGACGACTACTACGACTACGACCACTACTACTGTTACGACTACTACCACTTTTACTACTACTACTACTACTACTACTACTACTACTACTATCTCTACTATTACTACTACTACTACTACTACTACTACTACTACGACTACTACTACTACGACTACTACAACGACGATTGCTACTACTACTACTACGCCTACTACTACTACTACTGCAACGACGACTACTAGCACTATTACCACTACCACTACTACGACGACGACGACGACTACTATTACTACTACGACTACTAGTATTACTACTACTGTTCCTATTGCTGTGACCTACCACGGCAACCATTGCCACCACTACCACTACTATGATTATTATTATTACTACGACTACTACTACTACTACTACTACTACTACTACTACTACGACTACTACTACTACTACTAAAACCACTACTACTACTACTACTACTACTACTACGACTACTAGTACTACTACTACTACTACTACTACTAACTACTACTACTACACTACTATATCACCACTACTACTACTACTACTACTACTACGACGACTACTACAACTAGTACTAACACCACTACTCGTATTACTACTACTACCACCACCACTACTACTACTACTACTACTACTACTACTACTACTACTACTACTATTACTACTACTACTACTACTACTGCTACTACTACTACGACTACTAAACTACTAACTACTACTACTACTACTACTACTACTACTATTTATCACCACTACTACTACTACTACTACTACTACTACTACTACTACTACTACTACTACTACTACTATTACTATTACTATCTCTACTGCTACTACTACGGCTACTCCTACTACGACTACTACTAGTACTACTACTACCACTACTACTACTACTACTACTACTACTACTACTACTACTACTACGACTACTACTAGCATTACTCTCTCTCTACGACGACTACTACTACTACTACTACTACTACTACTACTACGACGACGATTTGTATTACTACGGCTACCACTGCTACTATCACTATCACTACTACTACGACTCCTCCAACTACGAATCATAATAATAATATGTGTTCGGATACGCCTACGACTACGCATACGACTGCGATTACGACTACGTCTACTACTTGTAGTATTTCTACTACGGTTACTATTACGACGGTCATTGTTATTACTACTACTACCACTACTATTACTACTACTATTAATACCACTCCCGTCTCGATTACTACGACTACTACTACCATTATTATTATTACGACTGCTACTACGATTATTACTAGTTTTACGACTACGACTATTGTTACTATTATGGCTACCTTTTTCTACTAGTACTACTACTACGACTACTACTATTATTACGACTACTACTACACCTGCGATTATTATTACTACTACTACTACCACTAGAACTACTACTACTACTACTACTACTACTACTACGACTACTACTACTACTACTACTACTACTACTACTACTACGACTACTACTACTACGACTGAGACTACTACGATTACGATTATAAGTGTTGCTACAACTACTACGATTACTACTACTACTACTACTACTACTACTACTACTACCACTACTACTACTACTACTACTACTCCTACTACTACTACTACTACTACTACTACTACCACTACTACTACTACTACTATTACCACTACTAATACGACGACTACTCCTACTCCTACTACTACTACTACTACTACTACTACTACTACTACCACTACTGCTACTACTACTACTACTACTACTACTACTACTGCTGGTCCTCCTCCTTATCCTCCTCCTCCTCCCCCTCCTCTTCTTACGTTTGCCGGTATCGCTCTAATCATCGGGGCCCCTTGGACGTTGCCATCTTCCCCCCCCCCTTCCCCAGGGGCGGTCTACCATTATTACGATTCTTAATACTACGACTACCTACTACTACTAGTACTACTACTACTACTACGACGACGATGACCACTACTACTATTATTACCACTACTACTACGACGACTACTACTACCACTACTTCTACTTCCACTCTTATTATTACTACGTCTACTACTACTACTACTACTACTACTACTACTGCTACTACTACTACTACTGCTACTACTATTACTACTACTACTACTACTACTACTACTACTACTTACTACTACTACTACTACTTACTACTACACTAACTACTACTACTACTACTACTAACTACACTTCTACTACTACTACTACTACTACTACGACTACTACTACTACTACTACTACTACTACTACTACTACTACTACTACTACTACTACTACTACTACTACTACTACTACTACTACTACTACTGCTACTACTACTACTACTACTACTACTACTACTACTACTACTACTACTACTACTACTACTACTACTACTACTACTACTACTACTACTACTACTACTACTACTACTACTACTACTACTACTACTACTACTACTACTACTACTACTACTACTACTACTACTACTACTACTACTACGACTACTACTACTACTACTACTACTACTACTACCACTACTACTAGGATCAGGAGCCCTCGCTGGTACACCTTAAAGGAGAAGGACTGATCCCTGTATGATGGGGTTGGCAATTCAATTCCTTCTGTGGCTGGTTTACGCTTCGATTCCCCTTTTGCGAGGGGGGTCAAATTGAAATCCTTCTGTGGCGGGCGCACACATAGAATTCTCTTTGTGGGGGTTCTGGTGATTTCAGTTTTGTTTTCAGTGTTTGCAGCTTTTGCAGCTTTCCAGTTTTTCAATTGTTTTCCTTTAGATCCATTTGTGGGTGGCTTACAATTAAATTCCCTTTGTGGCTGGTTCACAAATAGTGCCCTTTTGTGAGAGGTTTCAAATTGAAATCCTTCGTGGCGGGTTTACACTTCGAATCCCTTTGTGGGGGTTCTCGAGATATCAGGTTTTTTTCAGTTGATTCAATGTTGTTAGGCTTGTTCCGTTTTTTTGCAGTTGTTTTCAGTTTTGTGTTTGTTTTCCTCATTTGTTTTCCCATAGATTCCATGTGTGGGTGGCTTACAATTAAATTCCTCTTGTGGCTGGTTTACAATTATCGTGAGAGGCTTCCAATTACAATCCTTTATGGCGGGCTTACAATTAGAATCACTTTGTGGGGGTTCTGGAGATGTCAGTTGTTTCAGTTTTTCAAGTGTTTTCAGTTTTGTGTTTCAGTTTTGTCACTTAGAGTCTATGTGTCAGCGAATTGCAACTCAATTCCAGAGGGAGAGGTTGGTCACTGCGGCACCTGGAGGTGGCGACAGTTTGCGGCGAGTGCCAGGGCGTGGCCTGGCCGACAGCGGTGGCGTTCGCACTGTGGCTCGTTGAGCCTTCGCGTCGAGGGTATTAGAGCAATCCCACCCCAAGTCCCCCAGCCAACAGATTCCCCTCCATTCATGATCCTGCTCCCCCCGCCCCCCGCCCGCCCGCAGGGGGGCGCGCCCGTGCCATGGGGTCGCGCCGAGGAAGAGGAGGGGGCGAGGCGGATCTATGAAGGGCGAGAGAGCGAGAGGCTGCGCACTGTTGCCGATGGTAGTGCTCTTGCTGGTGGGCCGTTTTGTTCACGTGAGCCGTCAGCGGGGGTGGTCTCGGTGAAGGTTGCTCCAATTGGGGTGGGGGCTGGAATGGTGGGCTTGGCCTCGGATGCGGGGGAGGAGGGGATGCTGAGGTTAGGTGGCGCCAAATTTGGGCACTCGCTGAAACGAAGCGGGCCTGATGTCGCATTGGGTCGTTCCAGTTGTGGGTGCGCCCAGGAAAAGCGTTCTGGCGCGAAGCATCCTCAGCATCGCCTGATATTTGTTGGGATCCGAAGGGTCCGCCAATCTCCTGCTGAGGTTGGGTCGGGGTGCCGAGTTTGTGCTGACGCTCGCTGAAAAGAAAAAGCCAGTCTTGTGTCAGCGGTCGGTCTCTCCAGCGGCGGGCATGCACAGCAAAAGCCTTCTGGTGCGAACCATTTTCAGCTCCTTCCCAGTTCTCCCACTCACAGCCTCATCCTCCAGACCAACCCTTTTCCACGTCGGTTTCGCTGCGCAGGATGCTCGGAGCTCCTGGCGGTTGGTTGGTGGTGCCAACTTCGGCGCTCGCTGGGACGAAAAAGCTGGTCTGATGAATTATTTCGGTCGTTCCAGCAGTGGGCATGCACAGCTAATTTCGCACTAGCGCGGAGCATTCTCAGCATCTTCCGATAACTGTTGGGATTGTAGGGCGCGCCGGGCTCCTGCTGAGGTTGGGCGGGGGTACCGATTGCCCTGGCACTCGCTGAGACGAAAAAGCCAGTCTTATGTCACTTGTCGGTCGCTCCAGCTGCGGGCTCGCGAAGCACCAGGGCTTTGGTGCGGTGCACTCTCGGTATCCTCGACATGTCTCCGTCCCCAACCTTGCCTTCGAAAGTTCTTCACTCCAAACCAACCCCCTTCCCTCGTCGGCGCTGCTGCGCCGTAAGATGCGCACGTGGTGGCGCCAGATTTGGTACCCGCTGACATGAAACAGCCGGTCTGATACAGCATCTCGGTCACTCCAGTTGGGCGTGCACAGCAAAATTGTCTGGTGCGGAGCGCCCTCAGCATCTTCTGACGGCACCGAAAAGCGCAGCAGCTTCACGGACGGAGGGCGGGTTCAGTTGAAGATCAGGTCGTCGCTTCACAGCTGTTTGGAAGCACCGGTTCTGCGCTCCGACCACGTATCAAAGTTACATGAACGGTACAAGGCGGATCCATTTCAAATCGGAGTTCCCGCCTACATCATACGACCAAGGGGTGTTCTTCTTTCAAGGGGGGGCTTCCGGTACTGAAATGGAAAACTTGCAGGGCCAGATGAGCAGGGGATGTGACGTACTCCATTTAGTTGACTTTTCCGCCACGTGCCAGTTGCAGTTCATATTCTCTGGGGCAAGCCCAGCATAGGCCGCGGTTGCTGCACCAGGCCTCGAGCAGCCCAACTCGTTGGTTTTTTTTCCAGAGGACAGGTGGCCCTGTTCATCGAATCAGAAAACTGCATAAACATAGGTTCTTGACGCTTCACGTATCCCTACCAGCGCGCTTTGGGGTTCTCCCCTCGCACGTGCATTTCAGCGTTGGCTTCTGGCCCGCTGGCAATTATCTCGCTTGGCCCCCCAAGCTTGCTACGCCTTCTCTGGCAGAGGTGCACTCCGGCGTTGGCTTCGGCCCGCTGCCAATGATCTTGCGTGCTGCCCCATGCTTGATACGACCCGCTCTCCGGAATCGTCCTTGGAGCCGCAGATCAAAAAAATATCCCTACCAGCCCATCCGAAACCGTTAACAGGCGAGTTGCCCTGATCAGGGATGTGTAGCAGCATGCGACCGTCTTGGGGCCATCCTGGAGCCATCTTGGGGCCATATTAGAAGACTGTGTATCGCGTTCTTGGATGATCCTGGGGGTCTCCTGGGTCCTTGGGACCCTCTTGGGGGTCTCTTGGGCCTCTCTTGGGAGACTTGAGGGCCATCTTGGAAACTGTCGGTCAAAAGGGGGGGGGAGGCTCGGAAGGCAGTTGGAGCCGTTTTGATGCGGTCTTGGGGACTGCTTGGTGCCATGTTGGAAGTTATCTTGAAACCGTGTTTGGATATCATGAGCGATATTGGAGGCCATCTTGGGCTCCCTTGGGCCATCTTGAGATATCCACCTTGGGCCACCTGGGACGCTCCAGCCCCTCGCAGAACGCCCCGCTCACACCCAGGGGGGGAATTGGTATGGGGGAGGGGGAGCCCCCATCCCCGAAGAGGAAGAAGGTGTCAGCAGAACGAGCTCGTCAGACCGCTCGCGCCCAGAGGGCTGGTAGCACTCGGCGGTTCCAGGACGTCCGCTCGCAGCCCCGAAAGCGTGTGCTCCTGCAGCCCGATCCTCTCCTGGCCCACTTGCAGAACCCGCGCCTCCGTGGGTCCCGCCCAACTCCGTTGCTTGTCTCTTGCTGTCGCTCGGACCTGTGCACTTTTCTCGGCGGGGACTATCAAGGAGCATCCTGGATCATCCTGCGAAGCAACCACACACGAAACCGAAGAAACGCAGGGAATGGACGTCCGAGCGATGGCCGGTTCTCCTTCCCCAGGACTCTTGTTTGGACGCCCGAAATGGGTACGGAACAAATTGGCACAATGCCCAACAACAAATGTTGTCCCAAACCAACAGCGGCCGCTGTTGGGCATGCGGTCTCTTGTCTCAAATGGACACAGGCCGCGGCGACACCGACAGCGAGTCCTGCTCAAAATGAACAGAAACTGCTGTTGGGCATTGTACTTATTTTTTTCGTACCCATCTCGGGCGTCCAAAGCCTGCAGCCCGCAGCCCCACGCTCACCCTCGCGGCCCGCGTCGCGGAGGCCCTGCGCCGCCCGCGCCTCCGCCAGTGCGCGACCGCGCCCTGCGGCCGCGCGCCCCGGGCCAGCCCCCCCCCCCCCCGAGCGCGCGCGCGCGCTCGGGCGCCCGCGGCGCTCTGGGCGCGCCTTTGGGGCGGCGCGCCCTGGTCGGGGGCGCGTTCCCCGAGATCCTGGCGCGAAGAGCGCTCCCGCGGCGAGCGCCTCGCCCGGCGTCGGGCCCCCGGGACTCCCACGGATCGATCCGGCTCGAGAGAGATACCTCGAGAGGACGTCCTCCTCCTCCTCCTCCTCCTCCTCCTCCTCCTCCTCCTCCTCCTCCTCCTCCTTCTCCTCCTCCTCCTCCTCCTCCTCTCCTCCTCCTCCTCCTCCTCCTCCTCCTCCCCTCCTCCTCCTCCTCCTCCTCCTCCTCCTCCCTCCTCCTCCTCCTCCTCCGCCTCCTCCTCCTCCTCCTCCTCCTCCTCCTCCTCCTCCCCCCACCTCCCCCTCCTCCTCCTCCTCCTCTTCCTCCTCCTCCTCCTCCTCCTCCTCCTCCTCCTCAGGCCTCTGAGATGGGGGTCCGAGTGGATGGGGTCGGAGGATCGCGCCGCATCGTCGATGCATCGACGGTGCGGCTCGATGTGGAGACCGTGCTTCCACACGCCGACGTCGCCGATGCATCTCCCACGTCGCCGACGCATCGCCGATGCATCGGCTGGCGATGCGGCGCGATCCTTCGACCCCATCCATTCGGACACCATACAGGAGGCCTCCAGGGGCTCTGGTCGTGATTTGTCACCAGTCTGCCACCTGCGGGGCAGCGTGGGATCTCGGGGTTGGCCGAGGCGCTGGGCGGCCACCACCCCCGCTGGCATGCCGACATGGTGCGCCTCCGGGGAGTCGCAGGACCGGGTCGGATGGGCGGGGTGGGTCTTGGATAGGGGAGGAGGAGGAGGAGGAGGAGGAGGAGGAGGAGGAGGAGGAGGAGGAGGAGGAGGAGGAGGAGGAGGAGGAGGAGGAGGAGGAGGAGGGGGGCCATGGGGAACGAAAGTTGCTGCTCGCAGCAGGTTTCGCTGGCCCCGCCGTCGGACGCTCTCCTCGATACGCATGGGGCGCTCCAGGAAGGGCCCCACCTTCGAGGATCGAGGGAGTTGGCATCTATTCCTCGGCGGAAGGCGGCGGCAGGCTGGCGGATGCAAAGCGAGGGCCGCTCCGCCCATGGAAGCTGGCGGAAGGCCCACGGGAAGTGGGCGGAAGCAGGAGACGCGCCTCCAAGAGACGACATCTGCCTGGGTGTCAGGTGTTCCGGAGCGAGCCATGTGGCCGCCCTTGGCGCCAGGAGGCGCCGAGAAAAGCAGGTGCGTTTGCCGATTCCTTGGCATCGCTCGGACGTGTGCATTTTCCCTTCGGCGAGGACCACCGAGGAGCATCCTTGATATCAGTTGGCGAGAAAAGCCACGCACGAAACCGAAGAAAAAAGCACAGGGAATGGGCGTCCGAGCGATGGCCAGATCCGCTGCATCCCCCCCCCCCTTGCCACAGCAGCAGGGCACCCGATAGGAGACCGGCCCCGCCAGCAGGCGCCCCCGCGGAAGTTTCTCGTATGCCCCGCGGGGGGGTCGGGGGCGAATCCCCCCCCCTGCGATTTCACAATTTTCGGTTTGCTGTTCCTTTTTCGTTTTTTGGGGGTTCGTCACTCGCTTTCTTCCTTTGGAGGGTGGGGCTCTGTCTGCATCGTTTGTTTCCGCGGGTCCCGGGGGCCGCAGGAGCCCTGAGGCACCTCAGGAGCTGCAGAGCCCGACGACGAGCGTGGCCCCGTCCTCCGGCAAGTTCTGGAGCGTTCCAGGAAGGGCTTCGTCTTCGAGGACAGAGGGAGTGGTCATCTCTTCCGCGGCGGAAGGTCGGCGGGAGGTCGGCGGAAGGCGGCGGAAGCAAAACGAGGCCGCCTCCGCCCGCGGAAGCCAGCGGAAGCTCGGC